AGTAAATTAACATAGACTTTTAAACAAATAAACATTTGGAGAAAAAAGATTAAATAACAAAGCTTGTATTAGCATATTATATTAAAAATTGTTACGTATGCATAATACACAGAACATTTCACAAATTTTTATATATACTAAATATCTTTTAAATAATTTTTTTGGGCAAAAATCTATTTAATTTAATGCTGCACTGCTTTTTTAATTTTTTATCATGATCAGGATGAAAAATATCCATCTTATAATGTAAACATGCCTTTTTAAATTTAGCATGAATTGCCTTCCCTATTTGCTCAGCGAATTTACCCAGACCACAAGATTGATGAAGACAATATGGAATTACATGATTCAATATCTCGCTTAACCAAACAACCACCTCAAATAACCACCTCACTTCCTTAAATAAAATTTGTAGAACTGATCTCTAGATTATCTTGTAGTTCTTTCAAATTTTTTGTTCTTAAAACTGCTTTGTCCCAGGCTTCTCAGCTTGAAGAAAAATAAATTGGTTCCATTATCACTCAGATCAATTGCAACTTGTGACTGCATAACAGTATCAAGGGATGCAGAGGCTATGGTACTGCGAAGAGTTTTGTTATCTGATACACCAACTTTAACTGTTTCCAACAGTTGAAATCATTATTTTCCGTCAATTAAGGATATTTTCTATTTCCATTTTATGTTTTGAAATATTAGCTACCACCTTTTCTGCACACTTAATGTCTTACCTCCCAATGAATAATTAACTAGATTTTTAACTTTTCTTTTTTTCTGCATGGATAAAAATATTCCTTGCCTTTAATTAAATCAAGTTTCATAATTAATAACTATTTTAATAAAAAATTTATTTCTTCTTAAATAATTTTTTAAACAACTCAAATTTAAATCATCAGGAAGCTTCCTGATAAACCTACTGATAGTGAAACGAACAAAAACAAAACAGTGAGGGCATATTGAAAATGCTTCTACTAAAATAAGAATATTTTTTATTGGCTCAGAAGTTTAAATTTCTCTTGTTTTGAATTTTGACCAATTATTCTAAATTGGTTAATAAACAAAACCTTTATAAATATAAAAAAACAACAAATAACTAATGAAAATATATATTGTGCAATATATATTGTATATAAAACTTCACAATATAAAATTACAGTCCATGGTACAAGCCGTGGTAAATCTGCTTGTAATGGCATTGAAAGTACAGTAAAATGAATAACTGCACATGGTTCTAGTCCATGTTTTTGTTGGACTAGAACCAAATATTTTTGAACAAAATCAACAATTATAGAAAAAAAATTTAATCAGGCTTGGTCAGGAAGCGGGAGCGATCGCTCTCGAATACTGACCACGGAAATCATATTTAGTTGCGTAAAACTGGCCAGGTTTTTTAGTCGTTTTGAGAACATTTAAGTTTATTTATGAAACAAAAAATTTTTGTTTTACGGACATACATGGAAACATAAAAAACTTGAATGTTCTCAAAACATCATTGTGCGAAAGAATAAAAAGAATATTTGCGAGCACTAAAAACCCGCCAAATTAACAAACAAACTAATTCTAATGGTTCAAAAAAAAATGCTGATTAAGCGAAATAAAGTTCTAGAGTATTCTGTTAAAATGTTTCAGAAATTGTATTATACACGATTTGTTACGTTTTGAGATTTCTAGAATTGTTTTAAGAATATATATTATTTGTTTACAAAAATAAATGTTTTAAATTTATATTAATTAAATTGTTAAAATTTTAAAAGTTTATTATAAATTATAGATTTTATTAGTATATTCTTATTTTTTATTTAAAAAGTATGTAATCTTTATGTAAATGTAATTTTGTGTATCTGTTTTTTATCGAAATGTATCTTTTAAAGCAATTTTTATGATTTAAATAAAGACTTACAAAAATAATTGCGTTTTCAATGAAGTTATAATCATTAGAGTTAATAAAACTAATTATGTAACAAACATATAAGAAGTTTTTAGTTACTAAACACAAATAACGCATACAAAGTAACTCGCGGATGAACAAGCATCGCGCCTGAGGTCACGACAGAACACAAATATATATAGCAAATAATTAGATAAAAAAAAAGTTTCTAGATATTGGTTTACTAACTCTAATTATTTTCGCTTAAGTTGCTATTCTTAAAACTCGTTTTACTTTTTTCTGCTTTAAATACTAATTAAATTAAAAAGCCCACTCACTAAACATTATCAGCGATATTGTGAAGCAGTTTCGCTTCCTGTTCATTAAGTATTTTTAACTTTTTTAAGTTGATATCTATCTTGATAATTTAATTCCTATAGTAATTCAATGATTTAATTATTTCATTTGTTTATCTTACTAAGAAGAATCGCTTCAAATATGTTAAACTTTCCAAACTACGCGAAACATAAAATAGGTATTAAAAAAATTAACTTTTTTATTTATTAAATAATTTAGCTCAAGTAAAACTAAAACTTGCAAACTTAGTTAAATAAAGGATATTTGTTTCTTTTTTAAACACTCGTAAGTTGTTACTTTATATAAAAAACATCGCTTGATTTTATAAAAAAATTATAAAAGAGCGATGTTTCGAAAATATTTGTTCTAAATGTAATTTATTTAGCTTTAAGTTTTTTCGAGTTTAAAGATGTTTTATTTGCCTATTATTTTTATTTTTTTTTGTAATTGTCTCTCATCGGTCCAATTAACCTTTGTCGTTTTTTTTTTTTTGCTATTTAAAATGTTCTCAAAACGACTAAAAAATCTGGCCAGCTTTTCGCAATTAAATATTATTTACGTGGTCAGCAATCAAGAGCGATCGCTCCTGCTTCCCGACCAAGCCTGTTTAACGCATCAATATTTTTATATTTCCATGTTATTTTTTCAAATATAATTAAGATATTACTGTATGTGTAACTGACACAATTTAGTCACACAAAAAATTTATCCTGGTCACTTGTTTTTATGTGTTTAACATTTTAAAAAAAAAAAAAGTAATCAAGAGGGCAAAAAATGCTTAACTACACCTCCTCCCCTCCCCTAGCACTTGAGCCTTTCCCAAAAAAAAAAATTCCTACAAAAAAATTGGAAATAAAGTATAAATTTATAATTGCCTTAAAACAGTCAGCAAAATTCAAAGGATTTCAGGTCAATACAAGCTTGTGACAACCTTGGCAAACATCAGGTCTGCAAAAAAAAAAGGATTTTTTCTTTCTGTTACGATTGGGGTAATGATTAATTGATTATAAAAGGATTGCTTTATAATAGCATAGCTTCAGACAATAATATTTTAGAGAATGTAGACAATAATATTTTAGAGAATGAATTAAATTTTGTGTAGTAAATTAAGTATATAGCAAATTTATGAATTAGGGATTTTTTAGTTTTGAAGTTGTTTTTTTTACAAAAAAAATGTTCATAGTTTATTTATTACATTTTAATTGGTTTTTTAGATTGCTCCTAGAAAGAACGTTGTTTAGAAATTCAAATTTAGTTTATGTGCTGTAGGCGAAGATTTTGTTTAAAACAGCAAATTATTTAACAAAATGAGTAGATAGTTTACATCCGGTTGTTTAACCTCTGCGAGAAATAAGCATTTAATTCTCCAGTAGTAGGGGTGGTGTTTTTCAATATTTAATTGTAGTATAGTATGAACTTGTAACTATATGTAAATTGATGGAGGGAAAACAAAAGTTATAAAAATACTAAAAAAATTTTATATATAAACATTGTTTCCGCGCAATGGCAACTGTCTTATTGATGTATTTTCATAATTAACTCATTATCTGAATTTTCTGTCCAATCATCATCGAAATATCGCTTTAATGGAAGCCTTAACTTCTATCAAATTAAAAAAAGTTTTGTAACTAATGTTTCTTCTCTGCGTGTGTTTAACATAAATATACCAAGGCTAAACTTTCCTAATATACTTTCTGATCTTAAATAATATCAAAAAAAACTGTAAACATGTAAATTATTTTATAAGTTAAATGGTTTTAACTAATAAAATAAATTAAAATTAGATTTTATAACTTAATAAAATAATAATTGCCCTTAAAAAAGCGGGAGAACAACAGGCATTTAAAAAGTAATATTTTTTAAGCTTGCTGTGCTAGAATAAATAAAAAAAAAAATGAAAAAATGAATTTAAAAAAAACCAATGAATTATTGTTTTAAAAAAACATGTCAAACTTGAAAAGCAAGTAATTAAATTATAAAATAATATTTACGAATATTATATATTTTTTACATGTATTTCAATTTGCATGCCAACACTTTAGGATATTCAGGTTGGCAGTTTTATGCCGTCTTAAAACAAAGATAGGTTGGCTTTTGCATCAGCATTGCCAAATGCTGACCTAAATTTTGCTGACTGCTTAAAAAAGACTTTAAAAATAACTATTTATAGTATAAAGTTAAGATTAATTTAGACTAATTTAATCATAAAGTAGTTGGCAATAAATTGTATGCCAACTTAGCGCAATATTTTATTTTTCATTTATAGTGATAATTGATACCTATATCGTATGTTGTATTAATGTCTCAAAAAATATATCAAGGTGACATCACCATTTTGAACGTTAAAATACCCCAAAATATGTCTTCTTTTTTTCTTTAATTTAAATGTACTTAAGGTGGTTAAAAAAAATTAATTTGATATTTGTACCCACTATGTGGAAGATTGTCTGTGCATCAAATTTCAGGATGATACCTCATTTTGTTCATAAAATATCGCTATTTAAAGACATAAAAAAGAAAATGGAAATCTGAATATCTCACAAATCGTAAGGAGTTAGAGATTCCGAATTTCAGATTTTTCTAATTTTCTTAAACCCTGTAACATAAAAAGTTAACAAAATCTAAAACATTGGGTGACATTAGCCTGCTGATTTGACATGAAACCTTGATTGGTTTTAATTTGTTTGTATTTAAACAACTACTGTAAATAAAGTTTTTAATTCAAAAAACTTATATAATTTTCAATAAATAATATTATTATTAACTATCCATTACTCACCACACAAAATTTGTGTCTACAGCACCTTTATTAGCTTTCAAATTCTAAAAATGTTATAGATACATTCAATTTAATATATGTTATTAAATTCTTAATACACTTCAATCATATTGCATACATATTAGATGAACTAAAAATAATGCTTACCTCATCAGATAATTGCAGTTTTGAGTAAACATTTTTCCTGTTAAATTAAAAAACCAAAAAATAATTAAATTTTTACTGGTGTAATTAAGAGAACAATATAAATATTATGTTCACAATTTACATTATGTATAGACAAAAGTTGTAAACTATTTATAAAAGAGAAAAGCCAAGTAAATAACTTGGTTCCTGCTTTGGCTCCATCTATTGATCAATTCTTAAAACTAAACTTTTTAAATTAAAAATTTTTGTAGCTTCAGTTTTAAATTTTTTATAATTCAGCTTTATAGCTTCAGTTCTAAATTTTCTATGATTCTAGGTTTGAAGCTACAGCTACAATTTTATTACAACTCCAGCTTTATAGCTTCAGCTTTAAATTTTCTACAATTTCAGCTATGAAGATTCAGCTATGAATATTCTACAATTATTACTATTTCTTGCTAATGTTTGACAATTTATTAAAATATAGAATAAATGCTTGTTGGTTTTAATTTTAAAGTTTCAGAATATTACAAAATATATAATTAATATACTCAAATATATTAATTATTAAATGTTAAAGCATTTGCAGTCAAAAAAATAAAGTTTTTAATTGAACAAGGATTTTTTGTGCTGAATATAGAATAAAAGAATTCCAAAACACTTCAAGATTGTTCAAAATATCATATTTCTATTTATAGTATTAAATTAAAAGTAACTTTTTTTTTTCTCTTATACTTTTTTATTTTTTAAATATTATTTTTTTTTAGCAATTATAGATTTAAAAATAAATATGTTTTTATTATTTTTATTATCTTTATTATTTTCATTACTATTATTATTTAAAAATAAAAATTTATAAAAATATTTTAAAGTTGTCTTAAATAATCAAACTGTGAAACAACTGACATTAAACGAAAAACAATCGACACTATAGTCAATGAAGCTGCAACAGCAGCAATACAACTTGCAATAAGTACTGACACCTTTGACAAGAAATACAGACAAAAAACAGCTGAAATAATCAGAGTAAAAAATTGCCCTAAACAAAATTAGCCATCAAAATAATATCAAAGTAAGCTATTTAAAGAAGCAAATCGAGCTTCTAAGCGAACGGCAAGCATCACAACAGACTAACTACAATGGCAACATCAACAACAACATCAAAAATAACAGCAATAACAACAACGGATTAGCTGGACCAGCAACAATAATAGCAACTGAGAACATTTGAGAATATATGCTTCTACTCTTTGTGGTCATTCGACATATATGACTCTAAAGTGGTCATTCAAATTTTGAAATCTTGTCTTGATTAACCTTAACTTAGAAAACGATCTTTCACATTCGGCTAGTGTTACAGAAATAGTACATATTATTTTAAACAAATTGTCATACGTTTTGTCGTTGAGTCTATATGCAGCAAGAATTTGTAACACACAAGATGAACACGATCCACATGCTCCATTAGTATGCTGATAACAGCGCGGTTCTTCTATGTCATCCTTTTGATCTGCATTTTCTCTCAATGTTGTTAAGGGCAAGGGCAATATCAAAATCTCATATTTAGTGACAAATGACAACAGTTCGGCCTTTATTTTATCAATGTCGGCATCTGGTAAAAATTTGATGATCTTGCCAAAATGGCAAGATCACCAAAGTTTGATGTATCAAAACATGCCATGTCCATATATAATTGTCGTTGTGAAGTGAAACAAGACTTTGGACTACTAGATCTATCACCCCATTGTAAGTGTGTATTCTGTAGTGTTCCAAAGCTTTAGATTTGTCACAATCATCAACTGCATGTTCATCTAACATCATTGGTGTCTTCCGCATCTATTTAACTGGTACTTCTTTCATTTAGCTGGTAGTTCTTTTTAGTTTCAGTTAGCTGGTAGTTAATATCTTCACCTCTAATATGGTTTTAGTTCTCTGGATGATGCTTGCGTTTGCCATACAAATTAAAGAGCATTATTATGAACATCATCAAAATATCTTGATTGACTTTTTAATTCAATTGCGGCCTTCTCCACCATTTTGAATGCAACCATCACATTTAATCCACGAGTTTGCAGGTATATTGAAAATGGTCCCACTTTTTAAAAAATTTGCGGGTAGGTAAAGGCAGTCAAAATGGTGTCGAATTTCAGAAATGGCATGAGCAATGTCTTTGCATCAAAATTTTCTGATTCGCTTATACATGACAGACATAAAATTAAATTGACAAACACTGTTGAAGATGGCTCAGCAAATGTTCCAAATATTGCCATTGAAGTATTTGATTTACCAGACCATCTTGTTTCACCAATCAATATCAATCTTTTTATCTTATCCATATCAATTTGTGTTTCAACAAGTTTAATATATGTTGCCATTTGCTTATATGATACTTTCATGAATGTTGAAACATTTTGCAAAAAGTTTAAAAATTGAAACTGCCTGAATGCAGCAACTGGTTGCCTCCTTCACAACTAAGTTGAGAACATGAGCATAACACCAAATATGTACATGATGATTGCAGCTTCTGTAACCTTTTGTTGCAGTCTGTTGTACTGGCCATGATAACTTGAAGCACCATCAGTACTATCTGATAAGCAGCATTGCAAATTAAAGCCAAGCTGATGTAGCGTCAAATTTAAGAGATGGAACAAGCCTTGGCCAGTACCGTCATTGCTTGGTAAAATAGAAAGCAGCCGTTCATGCACAGTAGCATCTAAAACATAGCGAATCACAATGCTGAATTGGTCAATTGCAGATATATCTTGTATAGAATCAACTCGTATAAAGTACACTTTTGCTTTAGACGCTTTCATTGCGATCTGTTCCTGCATTGTATTTTTCATAATATTAAGTAGCTTTGATATAGTAGACTTAAAACATAACCAGAGCACAGTGACTTTACGCTTCAGTTTTTCTATTCTTTTGGTTAATTTCTTTTGACACAGCAAGATGAGAAGCTAAAAGTGGGTCATATTTGGCCAAGAGCTGTACCAAAGCTCCAAAAAATTCCCATGATTTTCTTCATCATTGTCCAATGAATAAGCACCTATGACCTCAAAATAACAATATTTGCTTATATAAATGTTTAATATCAAAAACTCAAGAAAGTATTTGTTTCCGCATCAGTACTTCATCGTTATGTTTCTTTATTGCTGTACTACAAAATCTGTCTAAGTCTTGATTATTCATTATACAAATGTAATCAAGGACATGCCTGAGGTGAGTGCTGCTTGATTCGTGTTCTGCAACCTGTTGGCTAACTTGTCTGAAATCTTTGATGCCAGACACAAATGATGACTATGGTGATTCAAATGCAACACAAAATGAGACTGAAAATTTTGGCTAAATGACAACCAATTTCATGGTATACTATCCTTCAAGTCCATTTGTCTATGGTAGATCTTGTTATCAAACGGCAAATGTTCATGTGGTTAAATTGGATGTTTGCTAAAAAAACATTTTAACTGCAAATGTGGTGGATATTCAAATGCTGATGTACTATGTGAATTTGACTCAATATCCCCACCACCTTGTGCTGGTATTATTGCTGATGTACTCTGCAAATTCAACTCAATACCCCCCTTACCTTTTGCTTGTATAATTATTGATGTACTCTGTGAATTTGACTCAATATCTCCACTACCTCGTACTTGTATTATTGTTGATGTATTCTGTAAATTTGACTCAACATCTTAACTACCTAGTGCTTGTATTACTGCTGATGTGATTAATTTGACAAAAAAATGTGATTAATTTGCACTTTTTTGCAGAAACTTCTATCTCTGTCTGTAGTTTTTCTTTGCACTTTTGTGCTTCAGATTTTGATATGATGATAGTGACCTGAGTTAAGAGTTTAACATTTAAAAAATAAAGCAAAAATAAAGATTATCTCCTTTTAGAAAAAATGATATTTAGATCTCCCAAAATAAATTTTGTCCGATCAAATTTGTCTGATCAATTTAAACATTAGAAAATTTATCATTGATGAATTTTTTATATGTATTCCTTGAATAGAAGGAAAAGAGCAGCAAAAACCAATTTGTCCTTCTTTTTTTTTAGTACTTTAACTTAATAGGTGGAGAACATTATGATTATTAATGAAAAAAAACATGTTTTTAAGAAATAATTTGGATTAGACACTTTATAACAGTTCTAACACTTTCTATCTATAATCATGTTTAAATTAATGAACTTTTAAATTTTATTTATAATTTTTTAACAATTGGAAGCAACAGAGCAAAATCCTAAAGAATTTTAAATATAGACTTAATAAAAATCTAAAATTCTGTATAAGCAAAAAAGATATATAAATATTTTTTTCTTTTAACACAAGCAGAAGTAGTTGTATTAAAAAGTACTTTTTCATGTATTTTATTTCATCCTAAGTTATATTGTCAAATTTTAGGATTTGCTAAAATTTCCAATTTAAGTTTTACTAATTTGCCCTAATAGGGCAAAAACATAAAACTTAAATCAGAAATCACCTTAGTTAAACTACGCTGAAGTGCTTTAAGCTAACTAACACAAAAAGTATTATTTATGTGTTACATAAACAGTTATGCTTATAAAAAGTTACAGAAAACTTGATTGTCCAGAAAATTATTTTATCCTCTCCTTTTCAAATCTTATAATTTCAGCCGATTAGTATGATCGGTAACCTTTAAATAATTATTTCGAGCACGGTTGACTAAATATTTTTGATAAGTTTTAGATTAAACAAAGAAAATAAATTTTATACAAACTAAAATACCAACCTCAAAAGAAGACTAGAATCACTTCAGTAAACTGGTTGGTCAAATGCGTTTTTGTGTTGAATTATTATTTTTTTAATTTTGAGGTGAACATTTAATTCATTTTTTAATTAATCAATTCAAGCACCGCAATTGCAATAATAATTACAAAGTCAATACCCTTAGGAAAATCATTTCTTATGCTTGTATCAGATAATGATTAACAATTGGAAAACCTTAGCAATTCTCTTATGACAATTATATGTAAAACTCTATTTTGACAATCAATAATGATTATAAAAGTTTTACAATCAAAAAAATTGAACTCACCATTCCACAGGTGTGTGCGCTATCAATATTGAATTATTGCCTATGAGGGCACAAGCAACAATTAAACAACCAAGTAGTCAAAAAATTGCAAAGAGAGGAAGCATTTCTTTACTAACCACATGGTAAATGCATGGAATGCACTTCTGTCAAATGCAGCCTATGCACTTTTCGATAAATATCTTCAAAGATCACATTAATGGAAAAAGAACAAATAATGGACACAGCAAGTGTCTTTAAGGTGCAAGCATAATAGTACCTGGTGTTGAATTACTTCATTAGGAATTGATAAATTTTTTATTAAATTAAATATTTAATATAAATTTCTAATTTCTTTATTTTCAAATTCATTAATTAAACTTTTAAAAAATTTTGAGCCGTTAAAAATGCAGCCAGGGCATAGTGGTTAGAGCGCTTTAAAAGCAGGAGATCCAGGTTTGAAACAAGCTTTGGACATATTTCACATCACCGTATAGAAGGAAGTGTAAACTTTCTGGTTAAATGCACTTCTGCGGTGCCCTGTGACAAGACCGTTAGGACTTCTTGGGGCACCTAAATAACAAATTTTTTTTTTTAAAATCACTTATATAAGATATTGTAAAAAAAACTGCATTCCTTATTGTTCTGGGTACCTATTTATACAGGTACTATATATATTTGAGTCTAGTTCACTCTAATAATTCAAATCATGAATTCAGAAAAAAATTATTTAAAATTAAACATTAAAAACCATTATCAATGCTTGCTTTGTTATCCTCTTTCCAACCTACATTATTATCTAACATTGTCAATAATTAATTCAATGTTTTGTCAACTTTAAAATTTAACAACACCAGTAATTCTTGCTCAATTGTATAAAATACTGCTCACTTCACAAAAAGACTGAAAACATTTTACCATTGATCCTCCATTATTTTTTGAAAAAAATTAAAAATGCTTTGAAAAATTTGTGGTGTATTTGTAATGAAAAATAAGTATATATCAAATCTAGATTTCTATGCATGAGTACTTTTTATGTGGTTGTGGTGTAGTGATAACATCTCGATTGAACTCAGAACTTCTCTTATGACACAATATGGAGACACAAGAGTTTCTTGCTTTATGAGAAAGTTTGATACTCATCATATGCCAGATTGTACCATGTTTCTTTGTGTAATGACTTTGTTTGTCAATTCTAGTAGCATCCTTGGCCTTAGGCAGGTGAATAACAAATCAATTATTTTTACATACAGGTCAATTCCAAAGTTTTTTTTTCCTTCAATATGAAAAAAAAGTAAATCAGTCAAAGTAATAATAAAAAATTTCATAAAATTAGTATTTGTCTTTTATTCTTTAAACAACCAACCTTTCAATTAACATTTAAAAAGTATAATGTAGTTATTGAAATAAAAGATATAAATAACTAAATTTTTACACATTTTTAATATCTACAATAATTTATAATGTACTTTTTCAATTTCAAGCAATGGTCTAAAATGCAAAAAATTAAACTGCTTACAGCTAGCTCGCACAACCATTTGTTTTACACAATTCATTTCATTTGAAGTAAAAAATTAATACTATTTTAACCAAGAAAAAAACATTTATAGTAGTAATATTAAAGTATACTCACCACTTTGGTGTTTTTTTGCTCCATCTAAATCCACACACAACAGCTGCAGTTGATGCAAATATAGAAGCAACAAGCAAAATATTTTTTGGTGTTAAATTGCTGTTTGTTTGAGAAAGAACTTTACTCCAGCTGTTGGCCATTAAAATTAATATTACTTAACATGTAAAAAAAAAATACTCAACATAAAGTAAAAATTACTTTATACAAAAAAGCATTAAATATTATAATTAATAGTTATTATTATTACACTATTAATAGTTACTGAGGTTGAATATATTTATTAATTTATATATATATATATATATATATAATATATATATATATATATATATATATATATATATATATATATATATATAATTAAATAAATTAATTTATTACTTTTTACTACTTTTAATGATTAAGTTTACTTAAAACTTAAGTAAACCTAAAACCACAAGCCAAAATGTAGAACTTAAAACTACAATTGATAATTAATTGATTTTATAATCTTGTACTTTCAATTACTGTTGTTTTGATCATTTATTGATTATATAATGTACTTTAAATTTTGATTATCACTTTACTAACTCAGAAACTCAGAGTTTTAGAAAACTTTGCTTTACTAAAGATGTATAAAAAATCAATTATATCAAATTATATTAAATAAATTATATAACTTATAATTTAAAAAGTTATCAATATAAAAATGAATAAATATAATATTCAAAATATATTTTGACAATTTTATAGTTAAAAAAAACAATTAGAAATTTCATTTAAAATAAATTAGTGTTTGATTACTATTTTAGGAATATATAAAAAAAACTATTATTAAATATTATAATATAAAAACAGTTCTTTATAGAAAAGAACTTTATCAAAATGTGTAAACTGTATTTTTGTCTGATGACATTTTGACATAATGAATTTTTTTTAAGCAAAATCTTTTTAAGATACATGTAAGTCAACACAAAATCAGAAGGCCAACAGCTTTATCAGTAGAAACTGATAAGTTATTGATGCATTAAACTAAAGTTTTCAGAGATTGGGGTCTGATGCAAGCCAATATATTTTCTATTGTACTTAAAAAATATAAAACAAGAGCATTTCATGATGGTATATTTTTAAAAAAGCAAAAGAAATATTAGTTAGTGATTATTAAAGCAGACTTAGCATCAAGCAGAGTGCATCTTGCACACCAAATGTAATTACCAAATATTTCAATAATTGTAAAAAACAACATTATAACAATAACTATAAATAACAACATGATAATAATCATAGCACAAAGGTGGTCTAACTGCAAAGTATACAAAGGATCAGATTCAAGATAAAAAGAGAAAAACAATTTTAACTTTCTTTAGTGGTCAGAATAAAATTCTTGTAATCGGTGTTCACAGACCTCATGTTTCATTGAAAGTAATAAAGCATGCACATTAAAAATGTAAAAAGGCTCATTTAAGTCAAATTTTGTAACCACTGGATGTGGAGGAATACACTGTCACAATTAGGACACCTGGAAAAAAAGCATAACTTCATTATGAATCATTAAAATGCAAAAATGTTAACAAAGATAACTTTTTAAGATTATCAAAAATAATGATTTTTTAAATTAAAATATAAAAATTTTCTTTATACATACATTGTGTAAACCATGATATAAATGTCTGCTTACTTAAAACATATATTAAAACTTGCTGACAATACCAAAATATTCTCTAAAGTTAATACAAGAAGTGATAGGTCTACATAGCTCAATTAGTCATAACTGAATTGCTCTAGCAATACTGGTATGGCCATACCTTGTAAATAACCAGGTAAATTACTTCAATTTAGAGAAGCAACAAATTTCAAAAGGAAAAGAAGCTTATAAATAATGATGATGTCACCATTAATGTTAAAAAGAACTAGTTCTTTTTTTTCTTTGTTCTTTTTAAGCGTTTCATTGGTATAAAAATGTTTTAGAAAAAATATAATAATAAAAATGACAAGAAAGATTATTTACAAATAAATTAAAGCTAATACATTAAATATATTTTAAAAATACACTATATGTACACAAAAAAGAAAAATTTGATTAGAAAAAAGGAAAAAAGGTGCCACTATGACAGTATCTTGCTTTGCATTCACGAGGTGGTGCAAGCTTTTTTACCTTTAGTAATAATTAAAACTCTAAGCAAGAGATCAATAAACTGTTTGAAATATGTTGGTAATTAAACTTTGGATGTGAGAGTTTTTTCACAATTTCTTCAAAGTTATATAACAATTATTTCAAAATAATTTTAACAAAGAATTTGTTGTTAACAATAAATATGTTTTAGTCGAAATTCTTAATTGTTTTATAAACATTATCTTATTTTTGCTTAAAGTAATTATTTTTAAATTTCTTTACTTTATTATTTTGAAAATTTATTTTTTAAAACATTTTTATTATAAAGAACTTTTCCCAAAATGCTTTGGTTTTAGATTGGGAATGTTAATAACATGTGCGTGAGTGTATTTGCTTCTGTGTGTGTATTGTGAGTATGCATTTGCTTCTGTGTGTGTGTGTGTGTGTGTGTATATGCATTTGCAACATACTTCTATTTGAGTGTTGTTGATTCATGATACTAATCTAAATTTGTTATTTTTTCTTTATATTCATGGGTGTGAAAGTTTATTTAAAGTGTATATAACAGTAACATGTTAAATATGTTTATTCAATATATTAACAAACATGTTAAACATATTTTTTAATTTGTTAGTATGTAGTAATTTATGTTTCTTTTTTTTTTTTTTCCTATGAATCTATATTTACACAACTTTTAACTCAAAACTTTTCTATGAATCTATATTTACACAATTTTTAACTCAAAAGTTATTGATTTATTATTACGTAATCATATTTTTGTCATTATTGTTGCCATTAAAATTTGCTTTTTTTTATTTAACATTGTTTACATCATTGTTTATCTAAATTAAATGCGCTAAACATTTAATATTTTTTAAATTAAAAAGTTAACCTTTGAAATTTACGATATTTAATTCTTAGAACTTTACGATATTTAATTCTAAGAAACAACAACTTAAAGTAAATAAAAACATAAAACCTGAATAATCTTCTGGTATTAATAAAACCTACATTAGCAATTAAAAAGTTTAAAAACGCTATCATATCTCTATCTCTATCTCTAGTATCTATTAAAAACGTTTACAATTTCATACAGCATTATTCCGAAAAACTAAAATCCTTTTAAAATTTTATAATAATAAAAAAAAAAAAAGATTTGTTTCTCATCCGTTTTAACTTTAATAAGATTTCTTTATATCGGGTAAACTTAATTTTTAAAATTTAAACATTTTGAATTTTAAAATTTAAACCGCAATAAGTCATCGTGAATTTAGCACCACATGAATTTAGCACCACATGAATTTAGCGTTGTATATATATATCCCATTGCACCCAGCAAGTATTAATGCTTTACAGCGACAATTTTCTATACTTATTTTTGTTATTGATTTTATTATAAGTTTTATTATCGATCTTATTTACCCAGGATATAGCGTCTGAACCAATGTTTACTTGATTTGTTTGTTAGGGTAGGTTGTTAGCTTTAAGATTTTAATTGTATATATTTTCTGTTTTTTTCTTTGCTTTATTTTAGTAATTTTTTTAGGTATTAACCCAGACAGCAAGTTTATACTGGTCCGATAATGGCTAGCCAATGCCAGCGAATTCATTAAAGAACCGGTAGTGGATTGCCAGTTCTGGCAAGCCGTAACAGGATTATTGCCGAGCCTTTATAACATTGCCTGGGCAGGTTAGCCGCGATAGTACCAATAGCAGGCCATTAATGGTTTGCCGGAGCAAATGAATAGACAATGGGCCAATATCGGCCGACCAGTGCCGAACCAATTTAAATTAATTTAAAAAAACTTTAGTTCTCGCATCCATCTTGTTTTTAAGGTTTCATACCACTGATCTCAAAATAAAACTGGATAGCGCATTCGGAAAAATTTTTGAAGCCAGTTTTGGCCAACGGTTATAGAAGTACCGTTTAAAAAATCAAAAAACCTTAAGCGTAATCGATAAAGATATAATTTTAAACACAAATAAGGTTGTTTTTTTTTTAAAAAAAAACAATTTATAAAAATAAAAGAATATATATATATATATATATATATATATATATATATATATATATATATATATATAATATATATATTATATATATATATATATATATATATATATATATATATATATATATATATATATATATATATATATATATATATATATATATATTTAATATGTAAGTTGATTTTAATAAAAAGGCAGCGTATAACTATTTTTAAATATATTTTGATGTAAAAATATATCAACGATATTTCGCTGACCTATTGTGGTCAGCGTCATCAGGTAATAATAAAAAACGTTACAAAATAACATAAAAACAAACCGTTTAAAAAGAAGACATTAAAAAGCGTCAAATATAAAAACCAATTAAATATAATAATGACGTCAGTTAAATTTTTGTCAAGATGGGTCCCCAAGTTCTTGTTTTAACCTTATCCCCGTCATCTCGATTTAGAACACCTTCCCCAATACCTATCTCACATCGAACTTTCGCTTTGTTAATCTCCAGAGATTCTCTAATTTTTCGTATCTTGTATTCTTGAACGACTGCCAAGGTCTTAGGATTATATATATATATATATATATATATATATATATATATATATATATATATATATATATATATATATATATATATATATATATATATATATATATATATATATATATATATATATATATATATATATATATATATATATATATATATATATATATAGCCAATCAAAGTTACCACGGCATGTTTTGGAATGTTCCGTGGCTCCTGAACTCGACCATTTTTGATTTTTGCAAGCTCTTTGGTGTTCTGCACTTCTTGAAATGATTTTCTTTTTGGTCTCACCAATATATATATTTCCGCATGAGCATTTAAGTTGGTAAACCCCCGGATTTGAGTTCGGAGGTAGTTTAGTTTTGTTGTTGCATAATATATTACTTAAACTAGGAGCTGAAGTAAATATAACTCTGATGTTTTGTTTTTTAAATTCTCTTCGGAGTTTTGGGCCAATAATAGGTATCCAAGGTAGTTTAACAAACTTTTGATCTAACTGATT